AGGAGGAGACCGCGCCATCCAATAACACGATAAAGCGATTTCTTCTTTCTTTTCTTTCTCCCGCCTCTCTCTTCTTCTTCGTCCTCTTCCTCTCTACGTCGGACGACCTCTTCTTTCTTGCTTCCCGTCGACTTACTCCGGTGGTACACGCCGGACAGGTTGGAACGATCCGGACTGTACGGCTCAGATCGGGACTCGTGGCATTCCAGAGTCGGCTTCTTCGTGCATCACCACCCCGATGTTGTCCGGCGAAGAGGAGAGAAAAGGGAGGCGCGCTTTCTCAGTTCGGCGGTGCGTCTGGAATCTGTTCCTTCGTTTCTGAACAGCACTCGTTGGTTCACCGACGGAAGGGATCAATGGGGACCCCATGACATTAACATTATAAGTAACAGTAACCCGGTACATACTAACTGCCATATTATCGCCCCGCCATGTATTTTTCATTCATTTGAGACTCATCAACGTAATTAATAAAATACTCCATAAAGAACACCCGACGTGACGTCTCTCGTCGTGAATCTCTGAATGTGTAACACGCTTTTTCGAGGATCTGAATACGAGGAGACGGAGACAATGCAAAAGTATATATCATGTAATTATTTTAACGTTATTTCATAAACAGAAATGTATTTTAAACTTATAATTTCTGAATATTTTGCAAATAAATAAAAAAATCTAATAAAACTTGATATATATGTAATTATTTTCTGCCCAACACACTAATTGTCTACCAGATGCTAGAAAGGAATCTTGATAGTAATTTGCGCATGATAGTGTGTCTAAGATGACGTGCCTAATGATAGCCGTTTCGAATCGATGTTTTCTTACTTCCGGTAAGATCGTCAAAAATCGAAAAATAAGTGTTTCATTCACGAAATGTTGTGGCCGCCTCGGGCGAGACGCGCAAAACATGTGATTTCGAAGTCAAGCCATCTCCAATTTATACGGTATTCTCGAAAACTTCCATGATATAAAAAAATATTAAGTATCTCACGCGAGAAGTGAAATAAAAACAAGACAATACGAAAAAACACGTAATATTTTTATGCCGTTATATTTAAGCTTACAGTTGCAAACCTGCAATTTCTCAGTCCGATTTTTTACAATAAAAAATCGAGTTTCTTTGTTAGCGAATGACGTAGCTTCTATATATATATATATAATATATACATATATATACTTCCTGCGAACGAGTTGCAAAATCTTTCTTCCCGTGACACGGCGTGACCTCTTTAAGAATGTTGCTCACTGGGTTCGCTCGGCCTCACCCGTCACGGCTATTACTTATTGCCGATCTCAAGGAGATTCGCCTCTCGCGTATTGTTTATGAACGACGCGAGATTGCGGCACGACGACGAACCAGACGATCGCGAAATGTCTGTTGTTTGCAATGTCGTGGCTCGGGACGCGCCGCGCACGGACGGCGCATGACGAAGTAATACTCCGCTCGCTCCGGATTGAAAGAGCTTTCGTCATTTTTACGGTCACGGGAACGATAACGAGCGACAATTCTTCCATGGCCGTTTCATAGACCGTGCTATCGATGATAGTCAAGTGCGGCTAATTGGCCTTTTGAGCGAAGCGGCGCTTTTGTTTTTTGCGCGAGTTACGACAGCGACTTGAAAATATATTTATCGACACATGCGCGCTCAATCTCGAATCGCAAAAAGCACGCAACGTGAGCGCGCGAATAAGTTTTCTGCGTTATTCGCAGAAACAGATGCCTCGCTACGGCGAACGAGACAGTTTCGATCCGGTTTAATCATTTTTGTGAGATTCCATACTTATTCTTGTTTGACGCGGAAAATCGAGCAACATCTCATGCGAACGATGCCTTTCCTGCAACTGATACCGAACGCACGTCGAACAATTTATGAAAGAAGTGAAAGCGCGATGTAAATCAGCGACGGCACGGCGCTCAATTAAGCAACAATTTATTGCACAATTACGTACTACTTGATAGGGCGCAGCAACATTTTAACCACGGAAAGATCGCTGATAACCAACAGATTACTACCTTTCCGCCTTTCAGCGATTATAAACGGAAAAAAGTCGGATGGAATATTAGAAAGCAATGGCGAAAAGCGGAAATTATAAATATCACGTGTTCTATTAATCAATAAAATCTGCGTACGCGAGGCGTGTACGGCATATTTACTTTGTAACGAGTTATAGTCACGTGTCTCGAAAATTATATTACGTTTTGTGAATATATAATAAATTTGTCAGATATACACACAGCATCGCTCTGCTGAGCTAAACGTGTCGTTTTGTAAACCTCGCACGCGTGTGATCTGCGGGTAACGTTTTTGTGTCCGATTGGCCGCAGGCTAGCGAAAATGAGAATACTTATGGCGATAGAGGCGGTATAACGAGGCCACAGTGGACTATTAAAAGGACGGCTTGCCGAGCGTAGGAAATCGGATAACGATATCCCATCCTATCGGGCGTAATAACCGGCGCCATTATCGGGATATTCGAGGACCGTGAACAATTCGCCCGATAATACCGCGGTAATGATAGCCGAAGACTTTAGTGTCGGCTTATATAGTTACATATCGCACGCACACGCGTTCACACGCATCGCTTCGTACACCTAATACGAGCTAATTGGACGCCGAGTTAATCATAGTTCCTACCTTCGAACGCCATTCTGCTGGCCCGCCCAATTATCGCATCTGCTCCGGGCGCGTATTAATTAAGTTATTTTTAACACCTGCCGCTCTGCAACTTGCCAGAAACAGCGCGGCGTGGCGAGAGCACGAGCTATAAACTCGTACACTCGTATCAAAACCGCGCGGTTTTCCTGCGACAACAATCTCGTACAATAAGACGAGACAAATTGTAAGATTGATTATTCAGAAAAGTATGGTATAGAATTATGTAAAGTGTGGATAATTTACATTGCGCATCTAGCTAATATCGTCTAGATAAGTCGTACAAAATTTCGTAAAGCGAAATGTTCGAACTTTGTTACAACAAGAATTATTATTGTCAAGTTTCAATTAATCACGTTATTTCATTGCTTTTAAAAGAATCGATAATTTTGAATAAGTTTAATGTTATACTATTCTACTTGCAGATCTCAAAAGCAAACGTTATTTAGATATTTTGTTAATAGTAAGAATAATTTAAAAAAAATAATTTAATATATTTTTATATTTTAATATATTTTAATATTTTTATGTAATATGTATATTCTTTAAACGTATATTGTTTATCTTGTCCTTGTCCAAAACATTAAAATAGCAATAAGCTAAATATATGTGCATATACATATATACAAATATAGATTTATATTTTAATAAAATTGTATATAAAAAATGTTATGATTTTTCAAAAGTGTATATTTTATTTTATTTTCATGGTTAGATATATTTATCTATAATGTATATATATAAAATATTTATCTAATATATATGTTAGATACATTTATCTATAATACATATAATACATATACGTATAAAAATATTTAGTAACTATATTTTCTATTTATGACTACATTTTCTATTCAGATTTAGTGATTATGTTTCGATACAGTTTCGTTTTTATTAGATATTATTCGAGAGATAAGAATTTCACATGTGAGTATAATTTGCTGAAATTCACATTTTATAGTATATAAAATTTTCAAATATATATATACATGAAAAATTATAACTAATAAAAGTTTTTATATACAATTTTGTTACTAAAATTTAAGTCTAGCTCGATAATTTAAACATATAACGTAACACGTGCAGTTTAATACACAGATAGATTTACAATAACAGATATATGTAATAACATCCAAAGTGAAGCGTTTTATTTCGAAATTTATATTTATTTACGTTGTGCTTTATCATCTTTTTTTTATTGCTAGACATTATCAAACATAAAAAGCAAAAGTAAAAAAGAAATGTACAATGATAAAATTACTGATAATTATTCTATCATATAATGTATATTATAAATACAATTTTTTTATAATTCATTCACATCTTATTGTTTTAATTTTCTTTTATTCTGTTTATGCTTTTTTCGCAAACAATGAAAATTTGTTTTATCATCCATTTTTTAAATTTATCTTGTATGATATGCACATTTAAAACCCGTAAGTGAAATCGAATTACTTAGATTTACCGATATATTTCTCTTCCAAAGCTCAACCCTCTGCGACAACATCGATAATTGCGTACAACAAGTAAATGAACATGCTTCATCATTTATTTGTTCATCGGGCTAATTACATCGTATTTTTTCTCAAGACAAAATCCCAATGGCGTTGAGAATGTCAAGAAACAGGACACTTGTCGTTATTGGTAGTACTAAAAAGATTGTCTTTATCACTCATGATTTTAAAAGTTCTTCAATTACTGAATTTATTTATGATTTGAGTACGTAAATTGCAAAGGTAAATATATTTAAAAAACAATTCAATTTACATTATCTATATAGCATATCTATGATAAGCAACAAAATTTTCATCAATATCAGATTGTACTAATTGTTAGTAATAGAAAGTGATTTAAAAATAAACTCACATAAAAAATAAAATAATATCTTGCTTTCGAATGACGAATTTCGAAACATTGTCACTAAACATTGATTTTTTTAATGTATATATTACAGATAAATATATATATATATATATATATATATATATATATATATATCTAACCACTAAACTAATAATATATATAATTTTGAAATAAACGTAACTACTAAAATTTTTTTATATACAATTTTGTTAAACTTTGAATCTAGGTTGATAATTTAAACTATAATAATATGTAAACTCAGCAAGTTTGTAATGCACAGACATGACTAAAAGCGGAACGTTTTATTTCAAAATTATATTCCCAACGCTGTGCTTATCATTTTTTTTATTACCGAACAGTTCCAAAAAAATAAAAAACACAATATTAGAAAAAAATAATGTACAACAATAATATCACTGATAAGTTTTATGTTATATATTGGCAGTATAAATAGGAAAACTTCTTCAGAGTTCACACAACCTTTAATACTGTTGCTTCGGTTTTCTCTTAGTTTATTTGTGTTTTCTATCATAAACAATGATAAAAACTGTTTCACTTGTTGTTATAATTTATCTTCTACGATATACAAATTCAGAACCCGTAAGTGAACCCGAACCGATAAAATTATTCGAAGTCCCATTTCTTAAAACTCCCTGCGACGACATCACAAGCATATCGACGGTTGCGTACAACAAGTAAGAAAAAAGCGAACATGCTCATCACTCATTTGCTTATTGCGCTAATTACATTGTATTCGATTTTCAGAAAAAATCCTAATGGCGTGAAGAATGTCAAGGAAAAGGACACTTGCGGTTATATAAGTAATAATAAAGAGAAAATTGCCTTTGTCACTCATGGTTTTACCTCATCCCCAGACGCTGACTATATGCACGAATTGGCTTCGAAGCTCGCACAGGTAAACATATTTCAAGAGAAAACATTTCAAGTCCAATTGTCTATATGGCTTACTTGTAGTAAAAACCAGAAATTTTGTTAATATTATATTGCACTAATTGTTAGCATAAAAGTTGGAATAAAAATAAACTTACATAAAAAGTAAAATTACAATATCTTGTTTTTGCAGAACGATTATACAGTGTTTTCAGTAAACTGGACTCAAGGATCATGCGATGGAAGTCTTTCATATTTTTTGTACATGCAAGCATATGTTAAAGCAGCGAAAAACACTCATAAAGCAGGAGAACTCCTGGCAAAGTACGTTCTAGATTTTTTTAGATATTTAAAATACACTAAAATGTAAATATACTTACATATAACATCATATTATTACATCTATATCATGTAAATTCTCATTTTTGATATGTTTGGAAAAATTACTTTTTTCTGGAGAACAAAGTATAACAGTATTAATATTTTCTACAAAAGTTGCGGTGTGAATAACTTTATTGTTAAATTCTCTTATACTGCGGTCAGAAAATATTTTAATACTATTAAAAAACAAAGACAGTACTAAATTATTATGATGCTCTTTGTTTCACATATTTCTAGAAATATGTTTTTTTGTGTTCTTTCAGCTATATCGAACATGTAAATAAAACGTGCAACGTGTCACTGGACAATATAATTCTTATTGGTCATAGTCTCGGTTCACATGTAAGTGGCTTTGCTGCAAAAAATATTAAGTCACGTAAGATCGGAACTGTGTCACGTATCATCGGCGCTGATCCCGCGGGACCAAACTTTATGTCCTTGAGTTGCGACGAAAGACTTTGCAATACAGACGCCAAGCGCGTAACTGCTTTTCACACAACTACGCTTTTGGGAATAAATGAACCCATAGGTCATCTCAATCTGTATTTCAATGACGCATCGAAACAACCAGGATGTGGTAAATATGTTTTGTGTTTAATTGAAGCGTTTAGAAGAATGTGAAACGTTTCTGAAATAAGTGGCCACACACAAATTAAAATTACATAAAATTATATTTCAGACGATGACATTTCTAGAGCATGCTCACATGCCAACGCCATTAGATATTTGAGTGTACTCCTTACTTTTGACAGAAGCAAGTGCGTATTCCCTGGTGTTCCTCAATTAAAAAAGTAAGTTTACTTCGTCAATTAACAATACATTTAAGATCGGATTGATTCGTCAATTCCTTCTCCCTCCCGAAAAAAATCGCGATCGCATATATTTATAAAATATAAACTTACATTATTTATATTATTTCTACGCACAAATTATAGTCAAAGTATGAAAGATAAAATTACTTGTAAAGGTATATACACAAGCGTACACAAAAATAGCAAATAAATTCAAAAGTACGCGCGTATAGAATTCATTAGATTTTTTTCTGTGATTAATTTGTTAATCCATATAACTCGATATTTTTACAGTTTTGATCCGAGAAAGCGCCCTACTGGTTCGACAACCAATTGCATAGTTGTAGACAGACAAGTGTTCAGCCAGGACAAAATCTCACCAGGATCATATACTGTATTTGTTAATGAAAAACCTCAGCTCTTCTGCTCACGGAATACATTCCCTAAGTGTCAACAATAGAGCAGTTTGTTGTTATTATTTCGTTACAATTTCTTATGACAATTTTGTCATATATGTGGTAAAATTTGTTATAGCAAAAATCTTATGTTATTATTGGCAATAAATTGATTTATCACAACTTTTACGAATCTTTAACTTATTTAATAAATCGTCATTTCTTTCTTCACAAAAATCGAACATAGTATGATACCGATAAACGGTCAAGCGATAATTAACGCACGTGAGAACCAGCTCCTCTCTATCACACACGTGTGTACGTTATGCTGAGATATTACACGCGCGCAGAAGCGAATCCGTTCCGAGCGCATCTCTCTCTTCTTCGTCGTCGTGATTTTCTCGCCGGTCGGATACACGCGAATGGCCGATCCGGACGAACTCGTTCGTTCTCTCGCTGCTGGAAAGAAGCAACACGTCCCGGCGCGACGCAGGAAGAATAATAACGGTACGACGTCGTGGATAAGGATGTATAGGGATTCCACGGTGAGGCGTTAGGTGGACCTCGTTATAGCCGCCGTGCCGTGCCTTCCGCCATGAGTCGTGTACGTGTACACGCTCCGCACGATACGAGGAGGACACAACAAGATGCGCGCGTGGTCGTAGGCGTCGAACGTCTCAATTTTCTATTCCTTTCCCGAGAAATGCAGAAGCTGTTACAGTTCGTCGCGTAGAAATTTCGGAAATTTTCAATTTTCGAGAATCGATATTCGATAAATTTTCGGTTGCGCTTGGCTCTCAATCGTTGCGGATATTTCACAAGATAGAAATCGACGACAACTTCTTTTACTTATCCTTCCTGGGATATTCGCGTTCCTCTAATTGGGACTCAGTCCCGTTCTTCAAGTAAGAAACTTATAAATCATTATTGGGACTCGGAGGTTTATCTTTTCGAGCAAGATTGTAAAAGCCTATAATACGTTACACCGCTCAAGCAGAATGCAGAGAGAGCTTTCATCGAGGTTATAATCGAATCCATGTAAATACAGACTAACGAGAGCCGCGTAGTTGCTCATCGCGCAGTTTAACATGTTATTGACTGAAGCGCCTCAATCACACACACACACACACACACACAAGCCGCTGATTCCTCTCTATTCCCGTATTCAACATCGTGTTTCGTGGCTGAACAAAAACTGTATAAAAATCCTTCTCGCACGTCCTCCCCGAAGATTCTTCAGTAAGAGCAGGGTACCGGCGCGTTCGATATGAATCGCAGGCGGACACAAAGAAGGAAGGATACGGTCAACGACGACGGGGCGAGGAAAGGCGAAGAGGCCGCCGCCGGTCACTCTTTTTAATTGACGGGCACCGCATAATTTCAGGGTGGCCCGGTCGGACCCTCCGGTCGATCCCGCAACTTGTGCAGGAAGGGTGAGAAGAGGGAAGAGGAATCCGTGGCGCTTGCACAGCAGCGCCGGAATTCCGTGGAATTCTGGGACACCGTGTGCAGATATGCGAGGGGCGCGAAACGGGCCCTCGGGCCCCGCGCTTCCCCAAGGCTCGCGCAAAGGCTTACTTAGTCACGCTAAGCAACGAGCACTCTCTCCCGCCGGCTCTCTTTCTCTTTCTCACTTCTCACACTCGCCGCACCTTCCGTCGCAGCGCGAACGGCCGCAACACCCGAGCTATTACGTGTCGTTATTGGAGCTTAATAGGCGCGCCGGGCCCTTCGGTGGATATGCCGATTATCGGGTTACCCCGACGCCAACCTACGCCTGTGCGGCTCGTAAGTACACGTTGTTATGCGTGCGCCTACCGTATGGGCGCGAGCGCGCCGCTCTTTCACCGCGAGAGAACGCAGGGGCGGATTTACGGGAATAAAATGAAACCCAACCGCCCGCGTTTCGATACGCGACAAATATTCACTTCTCCTCTCTTAAATGTCATTAGAATCTGGCGCTTAAAAATATCACATTTCTAAATATCATATCCGTGTTTATATTTTAAAAAACGTGCTCTCTCCTCAAAAATTATAACTTTCGTAATATTTAATAATATTTAAGAAAGATGTCGTCATAGGTGTGTGATGGCGGGAAGAAATCTAAACCGCAGCATAGACATATATATATATATATATGTCAATGAACCGCAGTTATAAAATATATTCTGTGAATCACTGTTGACACATTAGCACAAACGCTTCGCGTTATTGTTTGAGTTGGCCGGAGAGATCAAGTTTCACGTTTTTAACTAACCAAACTGAACATTCGTCGAGTTTCTTTTTAATTATTGTGCAAGCATATTCTTGCGCTTAACGGGAACGCGCGTTCGTCTCTCGGTACCTCTTTTCTTTTCTACGTGGTTTCCAGAAGTGATTAACTTCAGCTTGTGAAACGGCTTCGGTATCCGCCCCTGAGTGAAGCAACACACAGGTGTATTTCGCTCGAGGGATGTAAAGAAAGAGAAAGAGAGAAAGAGAGAAACAACGCTCTTAAGTTCTCGCGTTCTACACAAACGAAAGGGAAGGCTGAGGGGGAAGAGCAAGAATGCGCACGCTACCGTGCCCTCTCGAAAGTGACGGCGTTTCGGGATCGTTCCGAGAGGAAACGTGCCTCTCACGTTGTTTCTGACAGGTGTCACGGACGATGGTAATGAGATCTCCGCGTTTCTCCGCGAGATGATTGCGGAGCGGACGCGCGGCGCGCGACACTTGTCACGATTCCCAAGATACGCACGTGCTCCGAAGTGATCTCCCGGGCTATCGAGGGAATCTCTCGCATGTGATATCATCAAACTCGATAATCTCGTAATCCTCTCTCGCGCGCGTTTCACTTGTATTATTTGCATACGTAAACAGGCTCCCGGCGTCGGTTTATTCACGATAATCAGTATAGAAAAACGAACACAGCGTGACGATAAATTATTGAGTTATCGAGTCGCGTATCACGCTGATTTAATTACCCGGGTCCGTCTCATATAGGCGGAAAGCATAATTCACTAATTAATTCCTCATCACTTCGCGTACATCTTATGGTTAATGATATTCCGCGCGTTTCTTACCGCGTTTCGTATCGCGGCGGTTGCGACACGCGAACCCGAAGGTGCACTTTTACGCAAGCCGTGCGCTATCGCACAGCTCCCGTTTGGTGCCCGCCGGGGAATGTTATTCCGCGCTCGATACGATCGGTGGATGGAGTCACCAGATATTGCGAGGCCAATGCGGCAATACCTCCTCCCGTCGTCGTGCACGGATCGTCTACGGAGTGTGACTTTGCCTTCGATCGGGTTACAGAACGTACACACGCTTTAACAGGACCGCACGGTGATTTTTTTAATCCGCGGGATAACGCGCCGGACGAACGCACTGACAGAATACACTTCTCGCGGCGTGTTCCGTCATGGAATTTTGCAAACCGCAACGTCCGATGATCGATACGATAAAGTAATACTGTCAAGGTTACAAGACGTGTGTGGCGTTCGATCGCGATTAATTCTCTCTCTTTCTCTCTCTCTTCGCAAGTTTATTCTTAGAACGTAATTATGAATCTCGATTTTGAAAACTCGATACTGGGAAATTTCATTAACTCTTATTTGTTTTAAATGACATCAATATCCTCTTCTCTCTATATAAAAAAAATCCATGTGTACCATGAAATGCGCGTTTCGGAGTCGAATACATCGCATCTATTGTTGCCTCTTTTCCGCGTTGCCGATTGGTTGGTTGATTGATCGAGTCAAATCGAATCGGTAGATCGAGAGAGTAAATAATGACAGAAAAGCGATTTTGATAATTTGTCGTATACGTGAAGAAAATTAAAACCGTGACTAAAGTAAATTCACGTGACAGAAAAAAGTGGACAAACAACACGTAACTAAAGTAACGTGTAATGTATTATATATAACATTAAATAATATATATTATACATATATTTTATTATATATTTCAAATATACTTTATATTGTATTATATGTATTATATACATACTACAATAATGTCATTGACCTCGGCCGCGCGGCCTTGGCGGGATCACTGACCTCGGCCGCGCGGCCTTGACGGGGCACTGACCTCGGCCGCGCGGCCTTGGTGGGGGAGGGGTCACTGACCCGGCCGCGCGGCCTTGGCAGAGCACTGACCTCGGCCACGCGGCCTTGGTGGGGGGGAGGGTCACTGACCCGGCCGCGCGATCTTGGTAGGGGAGGTCACTGACCTCGGCCGCGCGAACTTGGCGGGGTCACTGACTTTGATCACGTGATTACGGTATATATATATGTATGTATTATATATATATTATAGAATATTATATATAATATATATAACATTCTCTTTTTTACTCTTATCTCTGTCATGTAACTTTAGTCACGTGTTGTTTTTCCACTCCTCTCTCTCACTATTTTTTGAATGTGATTTTCATGCGTTATTTCTGACATCTCTTATATGTGTATTATATAGTTTGTAAGACTATATACTAACTGTCATTGCAGTGACAGGTTGTGTTCACTGACTCAACACGTTAGAATAAAAATAATAATAGCGTGAGCGTAGCGCGTATAGTATAATGAAAAAAATAGATAATTAAGTATAAAAATACGTGATTAAAATTTACTTGGTTTTATATATAAAATATATTGTATATATATTGTATATATTGTATATTGTATATATTTTATGTATATATTGTATATATAAAATATCTTATTAATTTAATAATATTGTTACAACGTGCTTCAATTTTACTTTATCTATCCTGTTTTCCAAATAAACACAGCACTTTACTTATGAATTCCCTCCACCCTCTCTGATACAAATTTATCTTCCGATCGCATGGGAGAACCAGATGCATCCATGGATACGCACGAGTAGGTGTTTACGCTCGCGGTAGAGTTGCATCATTGACGCATCTGGCCGTAACGTCGGTGGAGCGACGAGAGAATGGAAGGGACAGAAAAGAACCCTCTGTCTCAATGGGACCTCGTGGGTAACGCACCTGTGCCCTTTTTGACGGTGAATGAAAGATCCTGCCGAGGGGACAAACTCAGAATGAGAAGTCCTGCGCCGCAACCGAGGGGCGCAAAGCGCCCCTTTAAACGGAACACGGAGAGAGAACACGTACATCTGTCGCAATCATGACGGTATTGTCAGCAAGCCAGAAGCGATTTAAATAATAGGGTTAACTCGAGATCCCGA